CAGTTATCACATTTGGAAACAACATCACTGAAGTACTGGAATACGCTTTTTCCAATATTATGACAAATATATGAAACTTTTTACATTTTGCAAAGTGCAATCTAAATGCTTGGAGAATATTATTACACGTGCTTTTTTCCTTCCATCCCCAGATCACCATGATATTGCATTAAGAAATAATATGGGTAACGAGTCAAAGCAGCTTTTCACCCTCTATCATTTAACGTGGAACATATTTATACATGACAGAAAATTCTCCTGACAGCTCTCTGGTCTCCACCTAACTCTTTAACCTCTGAAAACAGGGTACCCTTCTGATGCAACTACTTTAAAAGATACCTAAGATTTACCCGTGCATATGTTAATTCTGCACTTTAGAGGTAGTCCTCAAACATGGGGACTCCAATCAACTGGTTTCTATCTCAAAGATGGAAGACTGTAAAATATATTACAGCACAGAGACCTCCTCGTTTGTTTAGTTTCTCTCTTTCAAGCATTAACAATCTCCTTTCACATTTATCATTTTGAAAAATGATTTCAGTTTAATTAAAAGCATCAATAGGTCCAAGTAAAGTTTTCAGCTTGATGGTAGCTGGAAAAACAAAGCTAGAGAAATTTAAAAAGCAATCATTTATCTTTATTTAAAAATTTGTAATATTTCTGTAAGGAAGGCAGCATTTCATGTTTATTTGTGGAACAGGAGAAAGGCAAAGACAGTGATGCAGTGAGCGTCAGGTACCCTGCCCAGACCTGAGTCCCTCAGTATTGCAGGAAGGTCAGATCCTTTCAGCATTGTACTGGTGTGTCAAAATAATGTCAACAAACCATCATACAGGGGGAGGAAGAATGACCTTTCAGTTCTTCATGTTTGGGCCGCCTATGGAGCTCTGGGCGTGGGGTATGCATGAATGGTTTTCCTAGCTGCTTGACAAATGCAACTCCCAAGGTTTTTTTCAAGTGTGATTGTTGAAAGCCCTAGGTTCTTACATTTTGGGACAACTTTCTAAACCCATAAAACTCACAATGGAAACTGATTTTAACTCTCAAGATTCCAAATAACCAGATTCAATGCAACTACACTAAAATGACTTTATAAAATATGCTTAAATGTGAGAAATGAAGGTTAAAAGTTAGGAAATTTAGAGATAATTTTATTCACGTAAGAGTAATACTTATTGCTAATTAATTCGCTAAACTTTATTATGATGCCATTATATCACAGTTGTCTTCTTTCTCCCCCTGCTCATAAAAATAGGCATTTCTCTACTCTCCCTCTCTGGGAAAACCCACTTTGACTATTTCTACTGCAGATGATTCCTAAATCAATCTATCTCTGCACCATCATTGAACTCCCATCCCATAACCCAGTTGCCTCTGGATATTTCTTGTCATTGCAACTGAGTAACCACTAACCTAGGTTATTTTCCACTCTCAGTTCCTTCAGAGCACCCTTGTTCTCTCCATCCCAATACCAAAACCTCAAAGTTACCTTTGTCCCACACTGCCCATATCTCTGTAAGTCTAAATAGTCTCCTTTCATTTCTACTGCAACCATTATCATTCGGGAATTAACAGATTATTTCAATATGGATGACTGGAATAGGAACTGTGTTCCTATCCCCAGCTTCGTGTTTCTGCCCACTCTAAACATTGCTACTAGAATATCTATCCTAAAGTTAGGTCCTGATCACGTCACTCTTCTTTCTATTCAACAATCTCCCCTGGCTTTCCAGCTCTGTGACCTTGACGTGTGCGCTTAACTTCTCTATGCCTCAACTGTCTCATATGAGATGAGGATTAAGTACCAGTATCGACCTCACAGACTATCATGTGGACTGAAGAGGATAATACACATAAGAGCTTAAACCAGTGCCTCAAACATAGTTAGTGCTCAGCGTTAGCGCTTTCTGTGATTTGTGTGTATGTTTTGCTTCTCTATTGGACTGAATTAAATTCCTTGAAAGCAAGGTTAGGTTTTGCTCACCTTTGGCTACTCTGAAATGCATAATATGTTGCTTTTACATAGACAAACCTCAGTATCTGCTGAATTCAGTCACATGTCTGTGTTACTACTCATGCGAGAATGTGCTGAATTAAAAATCCGTAGTGATAAAAATATTTCACATTAAAATAATGAAAGGCAATTGGGGCTGATCAAATATTTCGGTCCAGTGTTGAGTTCAATACAGTTTTACACACCTGGCCTATTCACACAACCACTGTCTTGTTTTTCACACTTCCACAATCAATATACAGAGTTCTGAGAGTATTATAGCCAAAGCTATCAAGAATGACTGTGACACCTCATATTTATGTAAGTTGATAAGCTTTATGGATTAAAAAATCCTCTTCTCTAAAGAAAGGAATTGTGCATGAAATTCTGATCACCTGAAACGAGCTATCAGGGATGCTACAGGACTAAATTTAAAATGGGGAGGTGGTGATGATTAGCAAAGCTGCCAGAAACAAAAGGGAAGGAAATGGCAAAAAGAAATATATAATGAGAAGCAGAAAGGGGTTAACAAGGTACACTGTTGGTAGAACCTTTGTGAGAAAATAAGGGTGAACAAAACACAGGAAATACCTTGATGTTAGTGATTCAAGTAGAAAAGGGAGTAAAACAGGAGAGGAGAATTTACACAAATCATGAGGGGACACTGAGAATGTAAAGGAAAGAGCAAGAAAAAAAAACACAAGAGAACATAAGTGACTTGTGTTAATGGATGAACAGAATTCATAAAAGAGTTTAGTTCTTACAAAAATATAACTTCCATTGTTTCAAATCAATAACCTCAGGCTTCTACCTTCGGTAACTAGAAAAAGAAAAGCCAATTAAACCGAAACTAAAGAAAAGAAAAGAAATAATATAGATTAGAGTAGAAATCGGTGAAAAAGAACAAAGAAAACCAATAGGAAAAGTCAGTACAACTAAAAATTGGTCCTTTCAGAAGACCAAAAAAAAAAATGGAAAAACCTCTAGGCAGACTGATCTGGATAATCAGACAAAATGATCAATATTGCGAACAAAAAAAGGTGATATCACTACAGATTCTCCAGATATTAAAAGAATAAGGAAATATTTTGAACAAGTTTATGCCCGTACATTCCACAATTTAGATAAAATGGATGAATTCTTAAAAATACCCAAAGTATCCAAGTTCACTAAAGAAAAAAAGATAACCTGAATCTCTATATCTATTAAGTAAATTGATTTTGTAGTTAAAAATCTTTCAACAAAGATAGTTTGATTGCAAAATTCTACCTAATATTATGAAGATATAATAACAATTCTGCAGAAGCTTTTCCAGAAAACTAACAGGAGGGAATACTTCCCAACTCATACTATGGGGCCACCATTACTCTAATACCAAAACCAGGCAACAAGTGTAGAAGGAAAAATAAATCACAGACCACTATCACTCATGAATGTAATGTAAAAATTCTTGACAAATTTTTTTAGCAAATTAAATACAACAAAATATAAGAAGGATATTGCTTCATGACCAAGTGGAGTTTATCCCAGGAATGCAAGGCTGGTATAATATTCAATAATCAATGATTACAATTCATCATATTAACCAATTAATAAAAAAAACCCATACGATCATCTTAATAGATGCAGAAAAAGCGTTTTGATAATATTCAACATTCATTTTTGATAAAAACTCTCAGCAAACTAGGAATAGAAGGGAGTTCCCTCAACCCCAAAAGAAAGCTACAAAAACCTATAGCTAACATTATTCTTAACTTACCACTTCATTTTTGTATGGGAGATTCTATAGTGCAGTTTAAAAAAAAAAAGCATATTAATTGAAAAAGGAAGCAAACTGTCTTTACTCATAAACAATATGGTTGTCTATATAGACGCTCTTATGGCATCTACCAAATGATTTTTTTTTTTAATGGAAGTACTGGGGATTGAACCCAGGACCTCGTGCATGCCTAAGCATGCTCTCTACCATTGAGCTATTTCCCTTCTGCCAATCAAATATGTATTAATAAATGAGTTTTACACCATTGCAGGATACAAGATCAATATACAAAATAAATTGTATTCCTCTGTAGTAACATGAACAATTGGAAACTGAAACAAAAATCACTTCCTATAAAATCAAGGAATATAATACACATAGAGTTCCAAGTTGATCTAGAAATTCAATGTGACGCCAAGCAGAATTTTAGCATTTAGTTTAGCGTTTAGAAACAGTTTCTAAAATTTCTAAAATTCACATAGTAGTCCAAAGGACCAAGAATAGACAAAAATAACTTGAAAAGAAAAATAAAGTTGGAGGACTTACACTATCTGTTTTCAAAATTATGTTACAGTGATCAATATGGTGTAAAATTAGCACAAAGACAGACAAGTTGACCAACAGAACAAAATAGAGAATTCAGAAAAAGGCCCATACATATATGATTAATTGATTTTTGACACATGTGTAAAGGCTATTTAGTAGAGAAAGGACAGTCTTTACACCCGATGGTTCTGGCCCAATTGGCTATCTATATCCAAGAAAATAAACTTCAAGCCATACATCACATCACATATAAAAATTAACTGAAAATGGAGAGTAGGTCTAAATGTAAATTTAAAATTATAAACCTTTTAGAAGAAAAGAAAGGGAAAAATCTTTGTGACTTCTTTAGATCTGTAAATCTGTAAGATTTTGTAGATATAACATCAAAGACATAACCCAAAATTTGATTAACCTGGTCTTTATTAAAAGTAAAGACTTCTGAGTTTGAAAGTCACTGTTAAGAGAATGAAAAGACAAGTCACAGAGCGGAAGACAATATTTCATGTCTGACCACAGATCTGATAAAGAACTTATATCCACAATATTTTTTTAAACTACCAAAACTCAATAATAAGAACATAACTAAAAAATGAACCAAAGATTTGTTTTCTCCAAAGAAGACAACTAGGTAAAAATAAGCATTTGGAAAGATTTTCAATATCATTTCTCATTATAAAAATACAAATTAAAATCACATTGAGATACTACCATACAACTATTAGAAAGTCTGAAGTCTTTCCAGGGAGCACCTGGAACTCTTATAAGCTGCTGCTGAGAATTATAAAATGATACAGCCACTTTGGAAAACAGTTTAACCATTTTGTAAAAAGGTAAAAACCCACTTGTCAAGTAAATATCCCAACCATTTTATTCCTAGGTATTTGCCCAAGAGAAATGAAACCATACAAAGATTTTTACAAAACTGTTTGTAGCTTTATTACTAATATCCAGAACAGAAACAACTTAAATGTCTATCCACAACTTAAATGTGAATGGATAAACAAATAGTGGTATAGCCATGCAACTGAGTATGTCAGCAATAAAAAGGGATGAACTCTTGATATATTCAACATGGATAAATAATAAGAAAATTATGCCGAGTAAAACAAGCCAGACAAAAGAGTACATGATGTATGATTCCATTTATAGGAAACAGAAAATGCAAACTAATGTTTAGTGACAGAAAACAGATTAGTGGTTGCCTGGGTGCAGAGAGAATTGAGGGGACAGAGAAGAAGGGATTATAAAGGGGTATAACTTTTAGAGGTGGTAGGTATGTCCACTATCTGTCATGGTGGTAATTTTATGAGATTATACATACGTTAAAATTTGGCCAAGTGTACACTTTAAATATGTGCAGTTTACTGCCTGCCAATTATATCTCATTAAAACTGTTTTTAAAAATATCGTTATTTATAAAACACTTTTTATGTGCTTACTTTTTCTGTACCATGTATTAAAAAAACTCTGATTCTGTGGATTTTTTTTTTTTTGGTTGGGGGAAGAAATCAGTTTTGTTTGTTTATTTGTTTGTTTGTTTTCAGAGGAGGTACTGGGGATTGAACCCAGAACCTCATGTATGCTATGTATGCACTCTACCACTTGAGCTATACCCTCACCCCTGATTCTGTGGATTTCAAATCCAACAATTTGGGGGTTATCTATTCTGGGTGCCTGGATATATCTGAAAGAATTTTACATTAATCCTATAGATGTGTGTTTTAAATATAGAATAAGAGGAGCTCTAGAGAGAGCACCAGAGAACACCTGGCCCATTTTTCTCAAACCACATGGAGGTAAACATCTACACCTCATAAGTTAGAGAGCTTTTTAGCTTCAGCTTAGTGAAACCATTAACTGACACAGTAAGTAGCCTCTTGTAATACATTTATCACCATGACTGACGTGAAGTTGCATGGTGGACAGAAAGGACACAGGTGTGAGTTCAGAGGGAGACCTGGGTTCAGGTTCAGTCTTTGCAGTTTACTGTCTCCGTTCTAACTATGAAGCCCTCAAAGGCAGAGGCCAGGTGTCTCCAGATTAAGAAGAGCTAGTGAAATGTTTGCTGATCTAACCAGTCTTCCTCAAAAAAGCTGTTACTTTTTCTCATCAAGACTGTTAAGAAGCACATAGGCTAGGTACACTAGGATGGGCTGGCACATCAAGGCTGGGGAAAGAAGTGGACTTCAATGTTCAGTGCAGACCAGCATCACCACCTGAAGTTTTCAAAACAAAAAAAACCTCCCAAGTTCCAGGCTCCACCACACACCAATTCAATCAGTTCTCCAGGGATAAAGCCCATGTTAATATTGAAAATGCTCCAACCATGTGATTTGAATATATGGTGAAGTTGGAGAATCACTGCCCTAGACCCCAAGCCATTATTTTCAGAAACGAACTCTTATTCTTGGGCTCCTGACTCTAACCGTGCTCCTGAGTCACTTCCTTTATTTTCCTCTCCCTCTCTCTGGACAATCATAATGGCTGTATTTCTAGTCATAGAACGGACACCCAATCATCGGCTTGTTGGTTTGATTTGCAGTAACATTTCTGAAACATGTGACTCATATTAACTCTAATACAGTAGGTCAGCAAGAAGAGTTATCTTTTCACCAATTCTGTGGCCCCTGGATTTGAAAAAGTAGTCAACAGGTACTGGTCAATAGGTGCCCCACTCCCCTTCAACAACAACAAAAATCTTGCATATGCTTGAAGACAATGATCATAAAGACATCTTTCTGATTATTGTCTGATTACTGTCTGATAAAAGACATCAGAAACTGATTCACTGATATTTCCTTACAGGTCTACTTTCTTTCCCATTAATCCTTTGAGTAACTCATTTCAGTTTTCTCAACTATCTCTTTATTGCAAATATCACTTCAGTGGCCTAAGACAACATTTCTAGTCTCCATTCAGATTTAGATTTAAAGTCAGCATTGAAAACAATTAACCATGGCAGAAAATAGGAATTCCCGGGTGGGAGAAGTTCTTGCTATTCACATTCCAAATTTAGAAAAAAATGGTACTTAACTGTTAATGAGAAATCATTCTTATATAAAAGTACTGTATACACACAAAAAACACTTCCTTGGTCCTTTTAAAATACTGTGAGGTTACTCCAGCTAATGACAGTGTAAAGTGTTTGTCTGGAACAATGAGCCATCAATATCTCACAACCAGCTCCACTGTAAGGGATGGAAGAGCAAATTATTGTATTTTACCATTAGAGAGGCCCTCTGCAGTGCATTTGCTAATTGTTTGTCAATCTGTCTCCTGTTGCTGCTGATGACTACTTGTTAGCAGACGGCAGCAGGCCCTTCTGAGGCTGCCGTAATTGAAGGTTTGCAAGAGCTTCTACAGATGAGGCACATACTCCAACTTAAGACAGATGTGACTCGGCCTTGTTTTTAACAAGACTGAAATAACTGGAAATCTGTGATTTGGCTAATTGCAGGCTTCCTGGAAGTATCTTAATACGGGAAAAACTTTGGACAGCCTCTGAGAAACACCTTCCTTATCTCTAGCTGCTTGGCGGCCCCATTCTAAATGCCTCACCTCTCAAGTTAGCACAGACCGGAGAAAGCAATCACTAAACCATTGAGTAAATAACCAATCTTTGAGGAATACTTAGAGGTAAGAATGAAAGCCAAATCAATTCTTGCGGCAGAAGGTATTAGCTTTGCCTTGCCTCTAGGAGAGTAGACTCTCTGGAGCCAAGGGTTCAAAAATCCCACAGATGGAGCTCAGCTCTTAATCTTTCCAGTGACACATAAATGTGATCAAGACCATATTTCCTCTGGTGCTCATCTCCCCTCATAGCCTAACACCAGAACGAGAAATGACTCTGGAAGACAAATGTACTTGCTTCCTCTGGCACTGTCCTTTAGACCCAGTTGAGAGGAGTCCGTGGCCTGGACCCCAACTTTAGGGGATCTGCTCTGGCCTCCTCTGGTACCCTGGCCTGCAGGAAGAGGAGTCTGCGGAGCAAAGGGACCACCTTCAACCTGACATCTGTCCCCTGCAACAACTTTCTAGGCCACATCCCATGTTACCAGGGGCCTCAGAATTTCCTGACTGAGTAGTCCTGAGATCACTCTCAGGGGTCTTCTCTGTCTCAGGTTTATCTGTCTGGTAAGAGGGAAGATCATCAGAGTGGGCACCTTTGCAGTGAGAGATGACCAAGGGCAGAGGTTTGTAGGAAGGTACATGGAGCTTGGATGTGAGGGCCAGGGTGTGCTTGAAACCTCCCCAGGTGTAGGATGGAGCCAAAGGCGGTAAGAAAAGGGAGGTGGGCTATGCAGGGGCCACCTATCCCTGCACTGCCGCATTCAGCCTGGACCTCCAGCGAGTCTAGGCATTCTTAATGCAACTCTGAACTCCCAGATCTTCATGCAGGAGAAAAGAGGTTTTATTTAATGTCTGTTAATTTAATACACAACCTTAAATATTTGGGCACATTGTATATAGGCCTCCATTCATACTCTTGTCCCAGGTCCCCAAATGTTAAGGTGGGCCCAGTTTCCTCCATCCTCTAAATAAACTGTGGAATATCTTCGGCTCAGGATTTTCGAGGCATTCCACATCAAATCTCAAATGAGAGACCTTGCTGAAGTTTTGTGAAAACAAATAATCAATATAGGAGTAAAAATATTTACCAAAAAGTCTTCATAACATACACTTGCCACTTAGTTATCAGTTACTTTTTATTTTAAAACTTGTACATAAATAAACTTATGCTACATCTCATGAAATAGATCTGCAAAAGTCTATAAAAGTTTTTTAGAAAAATCAGGCATTTAGAAAAATCCTCAATGGCTGATTCAAGATGTTGTTGTCTGTTATGCATCAGGAAATTCATTTGTTCAATAAATATCTACTGATCACCTACTAGCACCTATAAGTGCCAGGCATTCTGCCAGCTTCTGGGCATTTGATGATGGAGAAAACAAACAGATAAGACAGAACTCAGTATATTAACAGGAGCAGAGTGATAAGCAAACAAGCAATTACAGTATTTCACAAATGCTATGAAATTGTCATCAGAACATAAGGGGGGCATTGAGCCCAATCCTGAATGGCAGGAAGGTTTCCCAGAGAGATGTCAGCCAAGCTGAGTGCTGAAGTTAGCTGAATAGGGGTTTACCTGGCAAAGAAGGAAATTAAAAATGTCTACTCAGAAGACTTCTAAATTCCACTGGACGGTGACACACAGGAAACAGAGATGGAGGAGAGAACGTGGGTATATTTATTGACCACCAGGCACTATGAAAGTGCTTTCCATGTATTAAATAACTGACCTGCACAACAATATGGTGAAGAAGGTATGATTAACCCCATTTTACTGAGGAGAGAACAAAGGCTCAGAGAGGGTCAGCAAGTTGTTCCCAGCCATGGGACCAGAAAGTGGCGCGGCCTGGATTCAAACCCAGGGAACGGGACAGATCCCTCCCATCACTTCAAGGATCCCCAAACTGGAAAAATCACGTTCAAACAAAACTTTGCCTTACTCTTTCTAGTCAGTAAGGGCTGAGATCTTCTTTGAGAGAAGTAGAGAGGTCTATCTTCCACAGGTTTTATAGATTCCACTGATGGCAGTATGTCAGAGTGTGCCCAGAATGGCAGGTGACAGGACTGAACTACAAGTAAGATTCCCATGTTCTTGATTCAACACCATTGAGTACTGTTCAGTGCTGTACAGTTGTCTGTGGTTCTTTGCTATTTAGAGTCATCAGTATTTTCATTCAAACGGAACCACTTTAACCAGTGAAGTGAGCACAGGGTGTCTGCTTCTGCTTCTTCGAAAACAGAAATTAGAACCCAGGTGTGTAATCTGGCCTCAGATTGCAGAACTAGTTTCTTTGTTTACCTGTCACCATCTGAATAGGAAAATAAAAGTAACATAGGTCAAATTGTCAGAGAACTCATTTTTTGATTATATAAGCAGAATGTGAAGTCTTTTTTTTTTTTGGTGCTAAGTGCATAAGGAAATATGTTTATACAATTTGTATATCTATCCCTAAGTATGAGTATACATATGTAAGTACATATTTTCTGTACAATTGTATATACATCCCTACATAATTTGGGACTATAGTATGGTTCAAATGCTGCTTCTCAGGGGCATTCTTTTAACTCCACAGAAGTAGAGACTGCAGACTTTCGAGGAGCTAATTAATTAAGTCTACTTGCCGGGAAAGGCAACTTATGTTCTGTACTCAGTATGTCTGACTTTAGGGAAGGTGACTGCATTGCAAAATTTAAATTTGTTGGAGGTTAATTAAGCCAGGAAAAATTCGTGAAGCCTTGATTCCAAAAGAATGAGTGGCACACTACATATAGCAAGTAGAAACAGCAATGTAAAAGGTAAAGCTCTTTCAAACCAGGTAAATTAGTGTTGATATAAATGTTTCCAACTACAGTCTATTCATGCACTCAGACAGGGGTAAGAATTATAAAGCAAAGTAAGGCTGAGTGAGAGGAGAGAGATGACTGGTGGTGATGCCCTCTAGACTGGGTGGTCAGGGGAGGTCCCCCTGAGGAGGGGAAATTGGAGCAGACACCAGAATGTCATAAAGGGCAAGCTCTGCGGAGATCTGAGTGAAGAAAATTCCAAGCAGAAGGATTAGTCAGAGTGAGGGTCTTGAAGCAGCGTTGCTGCAAGGAAGACGGAGGAAACCAGTGTGGCCAAGAAAGTCCAAAAGACGGACAGAACCTCAGGTGAGGGGAGAGGGGGAGGTGTGGGCAGAATTGGGGTGGTGGAAAGGCAGACCACACAGGGCTCCGAACGTCATGGTAAGAGGTTTGGATTTTATTTTAAATGTGATGGGAGGTCATTGAAAAGTTTTAAGCACAGAAGTGACACAACCTGATTGCTATTTTCCAAGAGTTACTTTGGCTGAGATATGAAAAACTGACCACAGGAGTGCAAGCGCTAAGTGTAAGGACACTGGTTTGGAAGCTGCAGTCATAGTCCATGACAGAGACGTGGGGAAGCTGGGGCTGAACGGACCTGCTGATGGACTGGTGATGGTACTCGGGTTCTGGCTTGAGTATGTGGGCATATTGTGGTGCCACTAGTTGAGCTTGGGAGGAAATGGGGGAGTAACCAGCTTGGGGAAGAAAATCAAGGGTTTAATTTTGGACACGTAAAGTCTGAGATACTACTAGATACTCAAGAAGAGATACTGAGTAGGGAGCTGGATAGACAAACAAATGTTACTCAGGGGGAATATTAGGGCTGGGGACAAAAATCAGGAGACAGCAGCATAGAGACGGAAAACAAAGCCATACTCTCTGATGACATCTCTTAGGGAACACCCAGGGAGTGAACTTTGATAGAATAGGGAGGAGGAATGAGCACTGAGTTCCAGGGCCTTCCCGCCTCGAGCTGGGAGGAAGAGGAAGAACCAGAGGACACTGCTGATGTGTCAGGAAAAATCCCACAGGGGCATCTCTTGGAAGCCAAGAAAAGAATATGTTTTAATAAAGAGGGAGGATATGATCAACTTTGTCAGAAGTGGCTGAAAGGCTGAGTAAAAATACCAAGTTATATAAAAAGAAAACTCTTAGAGAAATATTAAACTAAAATTTAGAAGCTCTGTAGTTATTTATGTGGAAAAATGGGTTTAGATAAGGTTACGATTCTACAAGCATTAATTGAACAGTAGCATCCTAAAATCCAATGTTTAATCTAAAAATAGTGTGACAATCATGATAATCATTTCATGATGCATGTAAGTCAAATCACTATGCTGTACACAGCCTTAAACTTACACAGCCCTGTATGGTAATTCTATCTCAATAAAACTGGAAGAAAACAAACACAGGGTGACATTAGATAAGTTTTTATGTTGACTGAAGGATTATCACACAAATAAAGTAATTAGCCCAAATGCCAACCAACAGCCTCCTTGAAAGGCTACCTACAGTTGGGAGAGATAATTTCCTCTAACTCTGAAAAATCTTAGCAACTGCTAATAAGATTTTTTTTTTTGAGAGGGAGTTGTGTTGAGGCAAAATATGAAAAGAGTAGGGCCCCAAACTTTCATAAATGGGCTAAGTCCTCGTTCTGTCAAAATGCACCATCACTGAGAATTTTGTATCATTATTACAACCAAAATTCCACATCCAAGTAAATGCCTCTGTGTTCCATTTTGAATGTCAGCACGACCTGCACTCCTTGGCCTCTCTGAGGACACGTGGTGAACTAGTGACTTTTGTGTTGAGCATTTCCTCCTTGAATGATCTGGAACATTCAAAATCAAGGCTGGCTTCCTCCTACTACACAACACACCCTAAGTGAATTATGCCCACTTAGCTGGTATATATTCAAAGAATGTATTTAGGAAAAGCAAGTCAACAGTAGTGTAAACAAGACATCACTAGGATCTCAGAAGCAGCATGCAACAAAACGATCCAAAATCCAATCCAAATGAAGCTATTAAATTATCCATTGCTCAGAGCCCTCTCCAATCACGTCAGTAATCCATAGGTCCCGCATACAGGTGACCGGATTATTTAATCAGCCTCTAAAACACTGAGGGAGAAGCACACAGTAGACACTCAAACAACAGCTGATGTGTTCTAGAATGAAGGGACGCCTTTGGAATGTTTAAGGAAGCTCTGCTCTTTGGAATTCAATTTGTAATTGTTTCTCATGGAAGACTTGACCAGTGCCAAAGTGGGGAGATGGTCTCAAAACATAATGATTATCAGGTTTTTAAAAAAAATCCCTTAAGCAATCTAAACTTACACAATTTGATTTTCTTGTCACTGCTTTCACTATACTATCAAAAATGATGCTTTCTTTAACTATTTCAAACTCATCATAAAATTGCTAAAAATCTGAAATTCAATTCGCTGCATTACTGCTAATTTGAATAATGGCTGAATAAAAGACAGGAAACGCTGAAGCAGCAATGATTTCTAAAACATTTTGCACTTTCCTCCTCCATCCCTGTAAAGTAAAGCTCGGATGCTACGCACAATTACACAAGAAAATCAAGAAAGCCATTACATTCAGCATTTGTCATGATCATTGTTACCATGGCAAAAAGTGGGCTTAGTTTAGCACAGCTGCTACGGGCGGGCGAGGTCCACGGGGCCTTTTGTAAAGCTGAGTAACCATATAATGCTAAATTCTGTAGTCTGTCGCTGTTTTATTCCCAGGGTAAGACTATTGTCTACAGATGCTACACTCTCTTTCCTTAATGATCTGGACCAATGTCATCTTATTGTATTCTTAGAGTTGGCCACTGACCGAGGGACAAAAGTTAATCTAGGAAGGTTACCTCCTGACCAATCTTCTGATTTAAGGAGTAAAAAAATATCTGATGTGAAAGCTTGGGACTCCAACAATAGAAAAAGCCAAGTTTTAACAGTTGTTCTGTAAATGAAGAAAGAGTTGTGCTGAAAACAGCACGGGTTTGGGAGTGAGAAAGACAAATGTGCAATGACTAGTGTATGGCATATTATTTTTTCTGAGTATCAGATTAGTTATCTGTAAAATGGGGATAAAGGTAACTTCCTTGTTAGTATTACCTGGGATAATCTGCAGGCCCAGACACAGACACATGGTGGGAACTCAGTAATATAGCACCCTCTCCTCTCCTCCAACAAACACCATCCTCTTCTTAACCACTAAGATCTCCATGCCTTGGCTGTGTGATTTTTCTTTTCTCCCATGCCTTTGGGAACGTTGATTGAAACTGGTAGGTAAACTGTTTGCTACCACTGAAAGGTAATTCATTTTGATCTTTCATATTGTTTGGAAACTTTCCTTAGAGAACTGAGGATAAAATATTTTTAAAGATCTGACAGTAAGCGTAACTTTCACATCAAGAGGATAAAAGTCAATGTCGATATCATAATATGAACCACCGCCTGTTTTTCATATCTTAAGTGACACCAATATCATCACTGTAAAATGGAAAACGGAGTACAAACTAATTTTGACTGGATGCAGAGATTTTTAGTTTTAAAAAATGAAGCAACACGATGAAAGCAAAGAAGTTTAAATGATCTGAAATGAAAACATTAATCAAGTCTCTGTATTTACTAGAAACAAAGGCTACTCGCATTTTTACCAGCTAAACAAAATATTTCTTCTAATGAGATTGCATCTGAGTATCGTTTATCTTAAGAGAAAAATAATGGGGCCTTACCTATTCCAGTAGCTCCAGAACTGGTCATGCAGGTAGGCGTGGTGGCTACATTCATCACCAAATGAGGCTTTGCTTTCAATCCAGTGAATTATGTGCCCTTCTACAGCTAAGGGACAAAGCATTACTAACACAGAGCAAAGGGAAAGGAAGATTGAAAACTCTCAACTCTGTCCAGGTCTCTCTATGCTTCACGTTAACGAGCAGAGACTTCGCCCTCGCTGTCATCTACGGATATAATTATAAGACAACACCCTGTACGTGCTCGTTCCAAGAAACCTCTATGCTACAACTGCATCCCTTTTATTTTCATCATCTTCAGAAGTCCCTCTCCTATTCTGAGACTGCCTGTATAAGTTGACAAGTAATGTGAAAGCAAACCAAGGTGAGGCTGGCTTTTCTACAGAACCCTGTTTTAAAAACTCAATACTTAGAGAAATGACTTGAGAATGAAAATCAGAATGTCTTTAGAAGACATGTTTATTTCTTAAATCTAAGTAAAAGTTTTCAAGGCATAGATTTCTTCTGAACCTATATTTGCTATTTTAAAATCATCTTTTCCAATTATTTCACACATTTACATGTAACAAAGTTATAAACCTAACCTAGATTCTCTGGTAATACTTGCTAAAATTAACAAAGATTTGAAAAGTTATGGGAAAAAAATCTCTTTTCTCTATAAACAAATGTATAGCAGAGTTTAAGAACTTACCAACTGGTACTTGTAAAATAAAGTCTGGCGTTTTGTCATAACCCTTCGCACGGAGCTGGTCTTCATCTACAGGAGGAATAAATACTATTACTTATAACAGTAGTCCATTAACAAGACAGCAATATAATAGCTTTTCTTCCTTAAAAATGTGTAAAACTTACTAATGCAGTCATTCTTATGTATGCAGTGCTGTGTCAGAATAAATGAACTTTCTTAACAAACCTGAAGCATAGATATAAAAATGCCTCTTTGTCCCTTCTGCATTTTTATGTCTTTATTATAAACATCATTAATTCAAGCTGTCAGATGCTACCTTTTTATAATTGAAACTACTCAAAATAACGAAATATATTTCCTGATTGAAAGAAAAGGCTTCCACCACCCTGAATACCACAAATGTTATCAAGCCAATATTGACAATTTACAGTTAGGCATAAGCGCACTGGCCTTTACAATTATAAAACAAATGCCTTCATTGAAGCAATTAACAAAGTAAAGTTGCAGTTAGTAAAACTATTCCTATGCACAGGAGCATAAGGAAGGGACAAGGACAATGAGATTCCCATAGAGAATTAGTTACCCTCCTTAACGCCTCTAGTTTGCTATTGTTTCTGGCATTTACCCGAGTTTTACTAGGAACAATATGTGATTCTGAAAAGCAAGCAGGCTTTGAGATTTTTTTTTCTAAGTCTGTTTGATTTCTTGATCCTCTGTAAATATCAATGATCCATCCAGGAGGAAAAGAGGCAGGAAAACAGAGAGCTTGACAAAGTTGGAAAAAACCTAGCTAGGTGCTTGGTTTTAAAAAAAAAAAAATCCTTCAATATTTTCTGAATGCTGTCCTTGACTTCTAATGGCATTACAATGTGATTCTGAAATGAGCAGTTCTCTGTGAGATTTTGGAGTGACCTGGTCATTCAATTCCAGACATGGCTCTCTGTCTTCACCCAACCTCAACTAATGGCCCAACCAAGTAACAAGGAAGGCTGTGTGGTCTCTTAACACCTACTGGGCTGTTGACATTGTCATGCATCCCATTCGCCCCTTCCTGCATCACCTTTGATTAAAATTAATGGCCCATTCCCCGTGTTGGGTAGCTTATTTCCAATCCATTTGTCAGGCCAAGACAGTGGTTTCATGGCCAACGTTCAGAAACTCTGTTTTAGAACACTCTTGTGTGCATCTTGAAAGGTCAGCATTTTAAACGTAAATAACCTTTTAATGACAAGACACATATTTAAACTAGATATTGAAGTTAAATTTGGTCAGAGATGATATCCTTTCACCATCCAAATTTTAAAGGATTGATGAGGCTAGAATTCAGAACAAAAATAAAAATATAAAAAATGGTAAATTAACTGCTGAGATAAGAAACTACAAATTTAAAGTAATCTTACTTTAAAAACAAGAGAATTTGGAAAACTGGACCGCAGATGACTAGGACTGAAAAAAACTTCTATCCTCTAAATGCATTCCGGCTGCAAGAATGTTTAATGGAAAAGGCATTTATTAAATCAACCCCAGTGCCTTGAGCTGATGTTTCAGGTGGCTGATGAACAGTTTTAAAAGCTGGGTTGACATTAAAAAAGAGAGATTAACATTTTATTAAAACTATCCTAGCTTGATCAACCTTTGCAGATGTTAAAATCTGTTTCAGAAAGAAAAATGAGTATGTTTCTGACAGCAGCTCAAAACAAAATTTCAAAGGTCACCAAGCAATCCAAATGTGCACACTAAAATCCCTTAAAAGGCAGGTGCTGCCCTCCTGTTCACTGTCCTAAAGTTACTAACACAATACTTGCAACTCAACTTAAATGTCATGACTAACTTAATGTGAAAATTAATTTTAAAAAACCCTATACCACCAAAACTGAACACAAACATCAGGTGAGGCTAGGGAGTCCCTCCACCCTTCTGTGGAGAACCTCAGAGTGCAACAAGGTGGTCATAGGTTTTCTCCCCTCCCTCTTACCTCCCCCTCTCAGTATGAAGTTGATCCAACAGTAACTGTACCCAAAGGGTAACTTCTAGAAGTCTGTGTCACCACCAGTGACATTTCTTTTTTTTTTAAGTAAAAAGTTTATTCCACACATCTGGAATAGTATGTTATTACGTACTGGGTATCTTCTCTGTCCTTTAGTTGAAAACTCTCACTGCCTTACCCTCCCTTGTTCCAACCTTCACACTATTTCTTTCAACTGACATTTTCCAAGAAAGGGGGAGGGAACAACTTGGCAAAGTTCAGAGAAAAAGACAGTCCAGGTATAGGAAGTAGTGTTTATGAACAGGCGGCCTTGCTCACCTGGGTGAGGCCCCAGGAGATGTTTCTATCACAGATCATCCTACTGGGAGATTTTTAAGGTCAGCCCCATCCATCTGGTCTGATTTCCTGGCCTCTGCTTTATGCTCCTTTCCTGGCTCCCAGACCTTGAAAGAATCATTATCCAAAATGCTGGGTATGGATTTAAAATATAGTTTGACCGTTTGGCGGGTCAGGGTTCCAACTCTAGGATATGGAGGTCATGGCTCAGCGGTCAGCCCCCACTAATTCCCTTCTGTCTCACTCTTTGTCCACTCCCTGGTCCTACTGTGCAGCGGCCTGTCTCCCACACACCGGGCCTGTAGCCACTGCTCTGAGGTGCATCTTGGTCAGCAAAGAAGGGACTATTCATGTGAAGTTTTCCTTGCGTTTTTTTCTTTGATCTGTAGTTTTTAAAATAACATTGGATTTATCCATCCCTTAAAGTTTGGGCAGAATTCCCCACAATAAGCACTCTAGGTCTGGTGCTACTACAGTGGATAGCTCTTTGGTGACCTCTCCTATTTCTTTTTTGTCTACTGATCTGTTTAGATTTTCATCTCTTCTGCAGTCAGTTTTGCAATTTATATTTTCCTTAAGAATCATAAATTTCATCCAGGTTCTTATTTGGTTACGTATGAATCTTTGATCTTCTTAAGTAGAAAACTGGATGTTTCAGTAACTTACTGTCTTCTTCAAGAAAAAATGATCAGGATTAAGAAAAAAACAAAGAATAACACTAGTTAGAAAAGGGTGGGGGGAGGGTAACAGCAATGTTTTATAACAGCATTTTAAGTATAACTGCCCTAAATTGCTAGGGATCAATGTGAAATCAATCTAAACCCTGTATACCTAGTGAATACAGCAAATACAATAGGGCTCTTCTGATTTAAGGTATATTAAAAACACCCAATGTATTTCCTAACTAAACTTGTTAATGTCATAGTTCAAATGTTCATTATCAAAACTAATATAAGAATATTCTCACTCAAAAGCAGACTTGTTAGCTTCCAGATCCACCAAATGTAGGATAATGTGTGCCTCATGAAACACCGCATTTCTGAGTTTGTAAAGCCTTTCAACATTCCAGGTTAGACATGATCAAAGGGGCCTAGAGAAGCCGCGTGATGCCAACACCTGGACCTCTCAGACAGCTAGATACAGGCAACAGCCCACCTCAGCCACGCCCTGGTTTGTCCCACGTTTAATTGTGGCAAATATTTAAGTTTGTTCTTGTAATACTTATGAAGTAGAGAAAAAAATTCTCGGTTTCCTCCTAGAAGATCTGGAACACAGGAGAGGAGATGGCTCTCTGTGGCACATTACTTAGTTGACACTTGTCTGAAGAGGAGATGAACGAGATAATCTCTTGATTTCTAACATTTTAACAATCCTCTCTCCAACAGAATTAAAAAACCAATGAAACTGCATCCACAGATAAAACTGATGTCAAATTTTTAAAAACAAGCCAGGTCTTCATTTATTTTTAAGTTGTTAGGCCTGCCTTAGAGGACATTTTAAAAAAGGAGTCATGCATATGTAAAGAACACTGTGAAAGTTTAATTTCTCTGGCCTTTTAATTACTCTCTCCTCTAAACGCCCAAAATATCCAAAGCAATTAAGTACTAATTACACAATTTCTTTTTTTAAAATAAAGGGCTGATTTTGAGTCAGAGAACAAAACACATCTGAAACTAGTTAACACCTACTTCAGACTCATAGGAGGGCAAAAGGACTACCAAGAAAAAGTTTGAGGTTTTCTTTTGTTTGTTTTCTTCAAAGTCTTTAAATTTAAGAAGTACAGTTATTCTTAGTAAAATTATGCAAAATTCCAGTTCATAACATCTGAAAATGAAAAGAAAAGTAACATTCTGACATGGCCTTTTATCTTTGAGTTTGTCAAAAGGTTTCTAAAATGCTAGGTTAAAATATCTTGTATGACAAAAAGAATCTTTTTAACAACTGTTCCCTTGTTACTAAGTTGAGGAAGGGCAAAAAATACCCATCAACACAAGCGAAAACTACAGTGAATCTTTTCTACTCTAACATTTTGGTTTTTTTGTATGCTATTTTTTTGACTCAAACGCTGTCTCATTCAATACTTGGAGCTATGTATGACCTTTGCATCCCATATTTTTATATTCTCTAACAGTTAGTTTCACAGCTTTTTCGACCCAATTTAGGAAGTTACTGGGGTTTCAGTAATAGATGCTACTATGCTATGTAAACCATGTGCAAAGGTACGCAGGACAGATATGCATTTAATGGGGAGACCGACAGCATAGATGAGAACCTGAAAATTTCATTACAGCCATTAGTTTCAACCTCTTCCCCCAAAGCCTCTTATCAAAGCCACTAATATGGAATACAACTGACTGCTCTGACCTTGTCCTTTTCTTGTGTCTTTAGGGGACAATACCAGTGAAAACTGAAGTGCCCTAAAGACAGGAAACAAATGGGAGGTCACCGGCCGGGACGGCACAAAGTCAGGAGGGGCAGGCTGGTCCCTGATGACTGGCGGCTGTGGGGACCGCACGTGAACATCAACAAGGAAAGCATTCCGTACTTTACACGGCATCACTCTAGGTTCTTTTGGTTTAATGTCACAAAAGAAGGGACGAATCAGCATGGCAGAATAAAAAGAACTCAGGGCAAGATGTTGGGGCAGGGAGGGAGATAGGGCCACACCTGTGATGCAAAGCCTGGGGCCAGATTCCACTAAACAGAACAAGGGGACCGAATGTCCACAGAGCCCTTTCTAACCCCA